AAATGAGAGAGATAACTATAGTAAATTTACAACTAAAAATGTTTAAAATTCAGGTTATTAGATTATGGAGAATATTTTCTTAAATTTTTAAGATTACTGAGTACTCAAAAATTATATATAAAAGGTGCTCATATTAATTCAGTTACATTTTTAATGCCTAAAGCCTCCATAGAACAACATTAGATAAATACCAATTTGTCAAACCCAAGAATGCCTTAAATAAACAGCTACTGTCTGGTTAAAAATTGTATTTCTGTGATATTTTTAACTTCAAGTGATAATGGTTGTCTCAAATCAGATTAACTTTAAATCAGCTAATATTCCTCAAATAATGTTTCAGAACATATTTTTGAAAGCTTTTTTTAATCAAGAGAATTGCATTGATGATATGAAAGATAACTAACGAAGGAGCACTAATCAGCTGATTTGGCAAAAGAAACAAAAAAATCCTTTCAGTCAATTTAGATTAGTTTTTGAAATACAGCAAAGTATTTTGGTTATTGGAAATATTAAATTTAATCTATTAGCTTGAAATTAAAACTAAAATAAAAGGTTCAAGAAAGATTTTTCATTTTTAAAAAATCATTTTAAACCTTAGGTATCTTTTATTTTCTTTTTGGAGGTACCTAATATAGCAGTTTATCATTTGTTTTGATAAATTATAGAAATACTTTTTTTAATAAGTAGAAGAAAAACTGAGGATAAAAAAAAGTTGTTTGCAGCCCAGTTTTTTTTATTTAGTGAAAACACTGGTCGTTAAATTGTTTTTCTTTTTTGTACATTTCAGATGCAAGGAGATGGATACGAAAACCATCTGAGCCTCAACAAGGAACAGTTTTCTGAAGCTCTCTGCTTGCTTTTAAACAAGGGAACAAAGGAAGAAGTATGTATTTTAGTGTTTGTCTTTCATAACACTTTCCTAAAGAATATGTCCATAACCTCTTGCATCTTAGTGGCTTTATCTCCTTGCTTGGGGTGATAAAAAAAACAATGTCATTTCTTATTAAAGTATTAACACATCAAAAACAAATCGGAAGAAGAAACAAAAACTGGCCAGGCTGATTTAAAAGTTTATAGTGTCATTGGATGTGCAGTGTGGTGTATTCCTTGATACCATTTTATGTAGTAGTGTGGGAACCCAAAGATTATTACAAAACGCAACATGAGGAACAAATATGTAAAATATCAGTCATCATCATCAGTCAGTCATCAAAAGAGACATGATCTTCCAAATGTGTATCATATATACGACTTAACTTTTAAAAAACTAGCCTCATTACAATTATTAGACAAGTATTTAAGAAAACCAAGAAGAAAGGACTATTACCTTTAAAGAGACTGTCAGCAGAAGAAACAGCCAGAGTTGTAAGCTATATATTGGAGATGTCAAAAAAAAAAAAAATAAATAAAAGCAGATGCTGAAAGTTAATCCAGTGTGCTTTACCGCTCAGATAAGAACATTGCAACAAACAATCACACATGGGCGATTCCTGCTGGAGTATGCATTTTTCTTTACTAAGATTCTTTGAATGCACAAGCTGAAAGACTGAATACATACGATTTAATAAATAAAAATGGGTCTTCTATTTCAAATATGAGTATCCACTATAATAATGTTTAAAGTAATAAAAATGTCCGATTAAAATAAATTCTTGAGAAATTTCTTTGTTTTCATTTTGGATACAAAACTGAGCAGATATGAAGCTTTCAAGAAAATAACCTGAGAGAAGAGGATGTGCCTCTTTAAAAAGGGAAAGTAGAACCTTGCTTGCTGCAGTGCTCTCCATAGCCGAATTATAAAGCAAACAGGATCAAACAAGTTTGATCCTTGCCTGGGGAGTGTTTTCTTTACTAAGATTTCTCAAATGTGCAAATCATTAGCTGTAATACTCACTGTTTAATAAATGGGGCATCTATTTCAAATACAAAGGATCTACTATAATAATGTTTGAAGTAATAAAATAGTCCACAGTTAGTATTGGTGGTAATAAACAGTGTGCAATGTAAAATAAAAGTGCTAAAATTTATACTAATAATGAACACATATTTGTTCTTCATGTTGCATTTTATGTCATCTCTGGGTTCCCACACTGCTACATAAAATGGTATCAAGGAAAAGGACCATTTATTTTTCTTATTTTATTAGGAGAGAATGGTGGCAGCTTGGCTTCTAAGAGGCAGCGGGAGGAATGATGTCACAGGAACGCATGTCATAAGTTGGCTCAATGTCCCTCTGTGGGTGGTCTCTGTGGGTGTGGGAGGTATACTAATGCTTCAAAATTCTTGCAGCCCTGTTGAATTTGCACCTTTTTGGACTTTTTTTTATCCAAAACTAAGACAAAGGCAATACATCATTGTCAGAATACCATGCCGACAAGACTCATCCAATCACTGACCATTGTGGCCCTGGCATTTGAATTCTTTCACACTCACTGTTGCCCCAAAGTCAGTGTTGCATCAAATAGTGAGGAACAAATATATATTATTAGTATATCTATCATTTTTTTTTTTTTTTTTTGCATACTTTGATACTAAATAAGTACTAGACTAGATATCCTTAGACATTGTTAGTGGAATGAGAACTCTACTCCCTTAGATTGAATAAAGGGTTCAGTTCTAAATTTGCTGAAGGTTACTTGGATCAAGAAGACCCCGATGAAGGCTGGAGAAAACAGCTCCTAATATCTTGTGATAATATAACAATAACAAAGATGGGAACAATTGTCAGCCTGTAAATACTGTAAATAATTATTTATACTTGTAAGCAATTGCTAGTTACATTTGAACTATTTTTCCTGTCTTTGTTGTTGTTATCACAATGTTTTGACCAGCCTTCATCAGGTGTATATAGATCCTGGTAACCTACAGGGAATCCTGAACTAAACCCTTTATTTAATCTACGGGTTAGACGGTTCTTGTTTCACTGCACATGGCTCAGGATAACTCCTCTAGTTCTTATTTTTTTAGTACTGATCTGTTATTGCTTGCTCTGTTTCCACTGAGCCCAATGTACACTCTGCCTAGTTTAGGGATTGAACTCATAATTATAATGTCACCAAATTTACATCGTCTGAATGTAAATAGTGTAAATAATAGTACGGTTCACACTCCTCCCTAGTTTTTAAACAAGAGTTAATTTTTATCACTTGTTTCCTGTTTAGGATTGGATTTTCTTTTTCTAAAGTCTACATCAACTTTATCCTGCTTATGTCTCTGCCTAAACTATGAAAATTTTTTTTACTATTTATTTAATATTTTTTTTTGTTAATAGGAGTAGATAGCTTTGCCTATCATCCATCCTCTGGCTTTTGAACAGGAATATCTATACCTTGTTTCCTGTTTAGGATCGGGTTCCTGGTGCCTGCTAAAGTCTTTTTCATTCTCTTTCACTCCCAATAGTCCGTTGCATCTTAATGGCATCATCGTCACCTTGTTTGGGGTGAATTCATTAAAAAAACAAACTCCTGATCCCAGAAATTCAGACAGAAATTGCTATATTATTTGATACGAGAAAATTTGACAATATTCTAATTTTTTTTATTTTATTAATTTATGAGTTAATGTGAAAGAAGTAAGGTTCAGGGGAGTAAGTTGTGCTATGATTAGACAACCAGGGGAACATCTTTTGCAATAAGTATACAACCAGGGGAGCAAGTTGTCCTATAAATATACAACTGAAGATTATGAAGCAGGAATTTTTTTTTATTCATCTGTTTTTCATTTATATTTTAAGTAATGTAATACATTTAACATATTACTTTAGAATTGCTGATCGTAAAGTCTCATTGGTTTTGCTTACAATATTTTTTTTTAGTATAAGCTCCCCTTCGGCAACAATATGATAAGCATGAGATTTTAAAAAGTATTTATTTCATCTTCAATAAATTTCAAATTTTTATCTCCATAACTACTTTGTAAGTCTTCAAAAATTTTGTAGACAGCATTTTCATGTAATTCAAGCCATGATGCATAATTTCTTAAATTCTTCTTTTTCTATATGCCTTGTCCCTTCTGTACGTGGGTAATCATGCCTCACTGTAATTTCCTGTCCTTTATGGCTGCTAGCTGTGTTTGTCTTTTTGATATCTCTCCTAATCCCTGTTCTTCCAACTATTTACATAAACTCTTTTGATAGGTTATGCTCTGCTTTCCTGTCTCTCTCTCTTTTACCTGCAATATATCCCGTCAGTATTAAATCATCTAAGACATCTTTCCTTATTATGTATCCTACAAACTTTATCTTTGTAAGTATATGTTCTTTTTGTTTCCAATTTCTCTAAATCTTCATCCTTGCTCACATGTTCAGTCCATGTTATTCTCAGCATCCTTCTGTGGAATCACCTTTCTGTTGCCTCATGTCTTTTCTACATTTGTGAGGAAATTATACAGCATTCATTGTCACATAGGTGACTGATATTACATAACAGTCCAATACTCTTTTCTTTGTTTTTACTGAAATTTTCCTGTTCCTTAATATGTTGTTTAACTTTTGGAAGGCATCTTTTGCTAACCCAATGCTTCAGTGTTGCATTTTCTGTTCTCTGTTAGAACACTTCCTAAATATTTAAATTTTTTTTACTTACTGGATTTCAGTTAGCTGCTATCTGTAGTTTGCATCTGGATTTTTTCCTTTTTCTGACAACCATATATTCTGTCTTATAATTTGATAGTTCTTTCTTCTCGTTTTCCTTTACTACCTGGAGAAGTGTCTGTAATGGGATAATCTTATTCTTGTTCAAATTGCTAAAAAGAAGGCAAGTTAGATGAATTATTTTTTTTTAAATGATTAAGAAAAAGATTCTTATATAATCTAAATTTTCATATATATATATATATTATATAAATAAATTAAAAAACTCTATTCCCAAAAATCTGTTTCCAGTAATGTCTTCCTGAGCTTGGCAGAAATATCTGAGGTGAAATTTAAGCTGAGAAAAAGGAAAGGAAATTTGGATACAAGAATACATTCTTTTCTCCAGAAGTATGATGAAAGGAATCGGTTATGAAAGAGTGAAAAAAAAGTGGTTAGTTGCACTAGGAAGAAAGGAAGTGGTGGAAGAATGAAGTAAAGGGTAAAAGAATGGTGAAGAATGAAGGAAAAGAAAGAAGGAAAGAAAGAAGAAGAGGAAAGGAAAGGGAAGAATGGAAGGAAGGAAAAGGAGGAGATGGTGGATATAAGGGGCGGATAAATTTGGATACAAGAATATATTCTTTTTCCCAGAAGTATGACGAAAGGAATCGGTTATAAAAGAGTGGGAAAAAGTGGTAAGTTGCACTGGGAGGGAGGGAGGGAAGGGAAGGGAGGGAGGGAAGGAAGGAAGGAAGGAAGGAAGGAAGGAAGGAAGGAAGGAAGGAAGGAAGGAAGGAAAGGGAAGAAGAATGGAAAAGAAAGGAAGAATGGATAGGGAAGAAGAATGGAAGAGAAAGAAAGGAAGGAAAAGGGAAGAAGAATGGGAAAGAAAGGAAGGAAAAGGGAAGAAGAATGGAAGAGAAAGAAAGGAAGGAAAAGGGAAGAAGAATGGAAGAGAAAGAAAGGAAGGAAAAGGGAAGAAGAATGGAAGAGAAAGAAAGGAAGGAAAAGGGAAGAAGAATGGAAGAGAAAGAAAGGAAGGAAAAGGGAAGAAGAATGGGAAAGAAAGGAAGGAAAAGGGAAGAAGAATGGAAGAGAAAGAAAGGAAGGAAAAGGGAAGAAGAATGGAAGAGAAAGAAAGGAAGGAAAAGGGAAGAAGAATGGAAGAGAAAGAAAGGAAGGAAAAGGGAAGAAGAATGGAAAGGTGGGAATTAAGGAATGAAGTAAAAGAAAGAACAAAAGAAAGAAACAAATTTCGTAAAATTATAGAATGAGGAAATTTCAACAAGGAAAGTTTAGAAAAGAGACAAGAATATTGAAGCTAAAGTTTGTGAAGAACACCATTGATCATTGTGTTCTTTCCAAAGTCAACCCTAATATTGTTGAGATTTTAGACTTTTTAAAATAATTCAGCATCTGATGCTGAGAAAGTGTGTGCAATGCTGAATAAACAGTTCATAAAAAATGACAGAAACCAATAATATACAAAAGAAATTTGATATAGGTGAGTTACAATAATTTACCACAGTTTTGTAATAAAATAACATTTAATCAGAAAGGCTGATTAGAGCTCATTGGAATCAGAAGACTCCAGTTAAATGGTGCTTTTAACTGCCAATGTTTCTCTCTTGATATTTGCTAATGTTAGCTTAGGATTGTCCCTCTGATGCTGTATGCTTTCAGGACATGGGCAATCATGGCTCTCTACAGCTTCCTGGCTTTCATTACTCAAAGTAATATTTGCTCTTTTAACTTCTCTCTTTGTCTTTGTAGTCTTTATACTGTCTTCCATTTAATTTAAATCATCAGTAGATTAGAATTACTCTTTATTTTTTATATTATTATTCACCTTATACAAGGCCCAAGAGCCATTCATGAGAGGGAGTTACTGAATGAGGTTGTTGTAAGGGCATAAGAGGAAGAAATAAGTGGTACAAAGAACCAACCATTTTACCAGCATTCCACTTGAGGTCTGGAGGGAGCTTGATTCTCAATAGACATTCAAGGCTAGGAGCCTCATTGAGAGAACAACTATTCATCACAATTGGAAAAAATGTTACTAGCTTAGTTTTGGTGATATTCAATGTTACAAGCCCATTTCTCTCCCCCATTGAACTGTTAGAGCTTGGTCAGAGTAGAGATCCACTGCCAGGCTCTAGTCATGTAGATTTATGGAGATGTACCCATAAACTGTAGGATGGTCTGCATATATATTTACTAATGATCTGATCTTGCCTTCAGTATCCGTGGTGAAGGTTCAAAAGCATAATTTTGGGTCACCTAGTGAGGAACAAACACACTTCTACATGTGTAACGCTAAAGGAAATGGCTTACCACCTGAATGAAAATGGGTAAAAAAGAATGGTATGTAAAATGGCAGCTTCACAAGATGTGTATTGAAAACAGATAGATCTTGGAGTCATATACATTTTTGAAAGAATATCTTTTAACCTAGGCAAATTTTAACTGTCACTCAACCTATAAAACGTGTTTAAAGACGCAACAGAGAGAATTGCAACTGACTACTATAATGAACAAGAGATGTGTTGTTGAATTATTTGACTTTGTTAGTAGAAGGAAACGGATTCTGGACATTTATTACAAGCCAAAAGAAACTGTTTACAACATGACTAACTTCATCATTCTATGGCAAAGTTCCAATTTTTTTTACTTTTATCTTTTCATAAATAAAATTTAAGAAGGTTACAGGTCCAGATAGAATTCCAGTGGTTTTCCTTAAGCATATTAACCCCTGATCTTAGCAAAATTACTTAACTACTGCTTGAAGGAGAAATGGAATATGCATTCACCTGTGTTCTTCCTACACTGGAATATGATTGGCTGGTATCCGTCATAAATACAGACGGACATGTAGATACGACAGAGTTTAAGTCTATGGTGATGTCCATTGGACTATGCCATTGGCTATCCTATTGGTCTACACCTATTACCTACAACTACAACGAGTACCGGTCGATTACTGCTACCATGTACTACTTGGTTACAGTAGCTAAACCCACTTAGCTACTTCAATCAAATATATCCCTTTCCGGGACATATCACCTTCCTAGGTCTGTGGAAGGTGTCAAGCATATAAGAATGTGGGTAAGGGATCAGTCTCTGTCTCAGTATAGCCCCATCAGCCTCCTCAGTGTCATTAGCAAACTTTTTGAAGCTATAATAAACAAGATGGTTGTTGATCACCTCGGTAGGAATAACTTCTTGAAAGACGAGCAGTATAGATTTATATCAGCTTGCTGATATCCTATCAATACTCACAGTGAGGTACTAGACATCAAATACATATGAAGGATGATCACATAAGGTATTTCAAAGGCCTTTGATAAGGTGTGACAGAGAGGGTTACTGCAGAAGTAACTATGGAATCACTGGAAGAGTCATCTCAATGATCAAGTCCTTCCTGATAGATAGGAACCAGAAGATAGTTGTTAATGGCCAGTCCCCCAGTGTCCAAATTCTGCCTAATAGAATACTGTGAACATTTGTGAATATCTATGCTGATGATATGGACCCCCAAAACTCTAGATGACCAGAGCCTGGCAGCTGATCTATCCTCTGATCTCTACATAGCTTTAACAGCTCAGTCGGGGGAAAACTGTCAAGTCACATTCAATACCCTGAAAACCAAACTAGTGACATTTTATCATCATTGATCTGACCCTTAATTTTCAACCATTGTGATGAATGTGTGTTCTCTCAGGGAGGCCCCATGCCTTGAGCATCTATTGGAACTTTAACTCAACCTAGACTTCAAGTGGAACTCATATATACAATCCATTGCTAAAGATGCTGAAAAAATGGTCAGTTCCCTGTACCATTCTAGTATGTATTGGACTCCTTCTGCTATCCTCTACCTTTACAAGAGACAGATGAGGCCAAAAATGGAGTACTGCTGCCATATATGGGCAGGAGCTTCCCAGTCTTGATAGAGTCCAAAAGTGTCTCCATGTCCTTGTGGGTGATAAATTATTTTCCACCCTACAATCCCTTTTCCCACAGATGAAACATTACAAACCTCTCACTGCTCTATTGCTATTACCATGGAAAGTGTTCAGATTAACTATATTCCTTAGTTCCACCAGTTCTAGCCTTCATCACTAAGACCCAGCTTGTTTTTGCGCAATGTAACAAACCATCCTCATTCAGTTGATGGGTCGTTAAACCTAAACCAAACCAAACCAAACCATCCTCGTTCCTTTCATATTCCATTGGTGAGATGTAAGTTTGACTTGAGCAGCTTCTTCCCATGAACCACTGATATATGGAACTGACTCCTAAGAGGTTGCTTCCCCAATCACTACAATCTTAACCATTATTTTCTCACATATCCACATAAACTTTTCCTCTTACTCTGCTATACCTCAAGTGGCTCTTAGGCCTTGTACAGGGTGATCATCATTGTAAAAAAAAATAAGCTTAATACAAAAGTGATTAGTCATATTTATAACACATTTCTAAAGTTTTAATTGATATCCTCCTGGTGTCATTTTTATTCCATATATTGACCATTTTGCCATTTCGTATTTTCTTGATTTCAGATAAAAGCTTGGAAATTTACCAACAGATTTCAGTGAAACTTTCACTTTTCAAGATTTTATTTTATAATTAGAATTTAGATTATATGGACAAAAAAAGAAGGCATCAGTTTAAACTGACACCAGGATTATATGGGTTCAATTGAATGAATTGCGTTAATATTTACAAGCTCCTTTTTTAATGTCTTCAGCCATAGACTACCTCAAGCAAGGGCATCTTATTCCCCTTCAAAAGAGACCATTTTTGAAATTCAAATAATTGGAATTCCTTCCATTTTTCAAAATGTTTGCAAATTCCTCTTCCAGGATAACCATCAGCTACCTTGTTTGTATACTTATTAATCATAGCATTTAATGGCAGTTTTAGCTTTGGGTAAAACCAGAAATCACACAATAAAATCTGGATTTATAAGAGGAAGAGGTTAACAGATCAATTGTTGTCATGTGTTGTCAAATCACTCTGCATGAGATATGAAGAATTTATTGTTTACTGTAGTGAACAACATATCAGTACAACCAGCTGCAGGAAGTCTGTTCACTATATTTACATCATGCCAAGTTCATAAACTAATGATTTAATTCATTGGCCAGTGTTGAATCTAGAACTAGGAGTCTTAAAACTAATGTTCCAATTGGTTGCTAGCATTTGCTACCTTGCTGTTATGTTTGACTGCCTTTGCCTTCTGCTTTCTTTTTCTTACTGCTATTTCTGCTGTAACCATTACTGTCATTTCTTTGTTATTCATTATTAAGGCATAGGTTTTATGAATAGTAATTTTGAGTCAAATCTTTAGGCTAACAATAACTGAACTGTACCACCTTTTCAAAATATCATTTTAGCAACAGGTGTGAAGATTAACAATCTGGTTGAGGCCTCAGTTTTGAATTCAGAACTGTCTTTCTACTAGATTGGTCGATAACTAAATATAGAGATATCCATCTACCCTGCTACTGACCCTGAATTGGTGAAAGATAAGATGGATTCATATGTTTCCTGTTTAGGATTGGGTTTCCATTTCCTTCTAATATCTTCTCATTCACCTTCACACCCAGTAACCCCTTGTGTCTTAGTGGCATTATCACCTTGCTTGGGGTGAATTGATTAAAAAAATTATGACCAATCATAACTCTCAAAGACAAATGAGCTCTCCAATTTTCCAGCATGTATAAATTGGCAATTATCAACTGAATTCTAAGGTTGGAGGAGGGAGAAGGACTGATAAAATAGCAGAAGGATGGTTGGTGGGTGCCTGCAGAGCTTGTGATAAATTTAATTTTAACAGTACGCAAAAAATTACCAAATTAATTACCATCTTTTATGACAAGACCTCTCCCAGAGCTTTAATCAGTACACATAACATGGGATTATGGCCGCATCACCTTGAAATATACAATCAATGAAGTTAAGCAATATTAAGCCTGTTCAATACCTAGATGGATAACTTCTTGAGAATTCCAGGTATTGTAAGCATGGATGTGTGGGTGGTGTAATAATAGCTTGGAATTGTTAATCAGAAAGCCGGGTTCCAATTCCAGTTGGATTCAATATACTCACTTACATATAAATACCCTTGAGAACAGTATGAATCCACCTCTTCTCCCTCCAGCTATGGGTTAATTAATAAGACTTGTATCACTAAAACGATTATTATCTGAAAAATATAAAATTCCATACAAAATATTTAGATTTCAGCATTAAATAAGCCATAGATGTTGATATGCCACTAAACAAAAACAACTAACCAACATCCATGATAATCAAACATAAATTGTATATCTGAAGAAAATTCTCTTTTTCACTATCTGAAAATGGCTTTTTTGACTTTGTATGACTTTGTGAAGAAAAAAATCTATAGAAATTAAGATTTGGTAAAATGAGCAAATTAGACAGATTCAGATTATTAGTACATTATTAGAAAATATTCTATTAATTAATCAATTTCAAAAAAAGTAAAAACCTTTTTTATTGAAAATTATTAATAAGATACAAT